CACAACAACATTACTCCATTTTTTTTTTTTTTTTTGCTTGGATGTACTTTGCTTTTACCCCTTGTTTTGTGCCACCCACTTTTTCTTTGGAGCCCCTCTTGGCCCCCGCTCCTTTTTCGTATGTGTGCCAAAAGGAAAATGTGCCACAAACTGCAAAATGCGGCGCATATTTGTGTGAGTGTTTTTTTGCCTTTTCTGTTTGTTGCTTCGCTTCGTTCGCTTCTTTCACCCACCTCCTTCTCCACCTCCCCTCCTCCTCCCCTCTGCAGTTAGATAACTACAACTACAAGTCACCGTTAAAGCACCAAAGTCGCGTCTCGTTCGGCGGAGTATTATAACTCAAGCAAGACTTCCTATATTTTGAAACACGTTACGTTCGTAACATAATTCACACAACAGGTTACTCAGACGCCAAGAGAGAGAGAGAGAGATATACGAATGATTAAGAGAGAGATGGCGAGACGGTAAGCTAGCGATAACCAAAAGCTACAACAATTGCACTCGAGTGGAGTTTAGTTTTTAGTTTTTTATATTAGTTGTAATCTTAGTATTACTGGTGTTCCTGTGTGTGTGTGTGTGTGTGTGTGTGTGTGTTGCGTGTATTTGCGGGCAGAAATTGGGAAACATAGGGAAATGATGATCGTGAGAAAAGATTGCGGGAAATTGTCAGAAGTGGAAGATGAATGGATTACCAGATGGGCGGCAGAATCTCTATAAAGTTAGAGATAGATAGATTATCTAAGATAATACTAAAGAAAATTGAACATCCCGAAAGAATGTATTAAATATATATTGTAGTAGTATTAAAAATCCCATGATAATTTCTTTTAGATTGTAACTTAAATTGTGGTTGGCAAAATTAATAAAAATACAAATAATAGATAGCTTATATGGTTTCATTAAAATTCAAATGTCGTGACAAAAAATCACATTGGGGAATCCAATTTCCCTGGAACAAATACGACCACGAAATCACTTCCTGGAAGTGGGAATTATATTCCAGGTTGCATATTTCAGATCTCTTAAAACACATCCTCGGTGGCTTAACCCATGTTGCCAATCGGTTGCCAAAGATAAAGAGGAAAAGAAAAATGTGGCAAGATATTGGAGGGGTGTGAGGTGTTTTATAGTTTACCGCTTTTAATGGCAAATTCGCACGATCGTTGATTGTCGAAGTGTTGTTGTTGTTGCTACTCTATTTTTCTTCCACTATTGCCACACACTACTTTCTTTATATATTTCTTTCGTTTTTTAGGTTTTCTTTCCTTTTTTTGCGCGAATTCGAGACACAACGTAATGGAAGCTGTTGCATTTGTGGCAAAATTCAGGTTAGTGTGATTTCGTTGCACTCTACAATAAAATGGGTTACAATGGGATATATAGAGTAACGCACAAGTGGTTCGCAATTTTTGCATACAAGTATAGGCAACAATGGCAACATCTGCTGGGCGATAACAACAATAAATGTGCATATGTACATATGTATGTATTTTCTTATGTAAATGTGCATTTGTATTGAAAGCAAGCAGCTTCCGCATGCATTTTAAAGCAGCAACAGTGGCAGCACAAGAAAGAGACCGCAACAAAAAAACAAAAGTGCGTGCCATGACTTTAGCAAAATAGAAACACTAAGGGCAGAGAAAACCAAAAAGAGAAACAATAAAAACAAATCACAAAAAAATAGTGTGAATGTAAGTGAATGCGTACGGAGTTCCTTAGGCCTTAACCCTTCAGTGACCCGAATTGATAAAATAAACCCTTCGTGGTTTTTTAGCATTTTTAAAAACAATAAATGTATCGCAATGCTCACAACTGAACCAAAGGCTTAGCGGGTAATAAACATTAAATAGTGCAAATAAGAAGCAACAATTATGTGGTCTTGTAAGTTTTAATTTTTAATCAGATATCCAAGTGGTTAACCCTTCTGTAGAAATTGTCATGTTTAATCGTGCTCCTTTTTTCAAATTTGATTTTTTTTTTAACATTTAATAAACACTAAGAAAAAAGAGAGCGGCCAATAGAGCCACACATACATACACATACATACACTTTGCTTGTTCGGCATTTTGTGTTAATATCTCTGCCGTTAAGGCGTTTTTTTATAGTTGTTGTTTTTGCTGCTGTTGCCGCCGCTGCTGCTGCTTGGCGTTTTCTTCCTCTTTCTTTTCATTATTTTGCCGCCTCTCAGACTCGTTTTGTTGTTGTTGTGTTTGTTGTCTTGGCAGTGATTTGCACGTGTGAGTATGAGTGAGTCAGTCGCTGTGTGTGTCTGTAGCTCTCTCCCTCTACCTCTCGCTCTTTACTGCGATCAACAGTTTTATACCTGTTTGCTTTTCTTCTCTCCTCTTCCCCTTCTTCTTCGCGCCTGTGCTTTTCTGCCGCCGTTTCCCAAGCGATCGCTGTCTCCCTTCCTCCTTCTTACACTTTTGACCCGCTCTCTCGCTTCCGTGCACTTGCTGTGCTCTTTCTCTTACGTCGTTTGTCTTTCGCTTTACACACACACACATACAGTGCACACACATTCACCCATTCCCCCATTACGTTGTTGTTTCGTTGGGAGCAATGCGGAAGTGAATTTAATTTATTGTATTTACGCCGCTTTTGCTGCTTTTCTGCCGCCGGCTGGTCACCAGGCCAAGTCTCAGGGGGGTGGTAGACGGCGAAAGAAGGAGGTAGGGCACCCAAAGTGAGAGAGAGAGAACAGGAAAGGAAAAACGCCAGGCAAAATCGCAGCTTCTACAAGTCTTATTTCGTTTTCCGCTAATTGAGAGAGAGCGTTTTTTTATAGGACACAAATCTTAATACATCCGTAGTACTAACAGTCATAAGCAGATAAATAGGTTAGGTACAATTTACGAATTTTTGTGCATCTAAACCAATTAGTATTTAAAGGAAAATTATGAAATGAATGTTGATAACACTTCATAACACTTTAAATTAAAATAAACATTTTTCCCCCAAAGAATTCTTTTAACTCTTCCTTGTTAGAACCATTTTTCTGTCTTCTATTGTTGCTGTGGGTTTGTTTTGTACATAACGAAATTTATTGGCGAGATTTCTGCTCTCATCTAACAAAAAAAAAAAAAAAAACAACAAAATTAAACAAATACAAAATCGGAGGTGGCGCACGATCAGGTGTGTGTGTCTAGTTCAAAGCCCCCCGGAAAACCCTCTCATTCGCATAAACACATACCTAGATACATACATACATATACCATAAAGCTGCGGCAGAAGCAGGAACTGTTTGGCTGATTTGACGGGCGGCAAAAGGCAAATAAATAAACACAATTCTGCTGGCTGTTTTACTTTTTTCCTTTTATTATATATGAATGTTTATATATATGCATGTATATATAGCTATATTGCTATATGGTTATTTGCAAGTGTGAGTATTTCTTTTCGTTATAGCGCCCCGGCGATAAGATTTCGCTGACGTGAGCCAGAGTCGCCCACAGAGTCACCCTAATTGGAGCTCAACGCTCTGCTTTTGTTTCACTGCACTTCCATTTCCATAGAAAAGTGCATGCAACAAGAGACTCTCGTGAACCGAGCACAGAACGAGCCACTTCTATAACATATGGCATACCACCGATATTCAGTCCAAGACATGCACGGACCATCCGATAATTACCGTTTTCTCTGAGGAGGCGGAAAACTTCGGGACCCAACGACAAGCATGATGCAACCGAAGCATTACCGAAGCACTCCCAAGGTACCGTAATGCCGAGTGGAGGAATGTGGGTTTATAAAAAAACACTATTTCAACCTAAATCGATCTAGTAAAATATGTATTCATATTTGTAGAGTAACAAGGAATCAGTGGAGCGTGCCCCCCAACTAGTAAGCCTGGGAAAAGAAATTTAGATCAAAAAATTTCTTACCACGCAATCCCATTGTCAAAGTGGTGATATCCAATAAGATTTCTTTAAAATATCTATCCGAAACTCTTAGAAATTCCTTTAATACAAATAATAAATATTTATATTATAAAGTTAAAAGTTAATTTACTCCAATTTGAAATAATGTATTCCAGGGATTTTAAGATTTAATAAGACAGAGGTTGGAACAAAAGGTACAAAAACCAATTAGATTAACACAGAAAAGAGCATTGTGTTGCGGAACAATCAGATAACAAAAATAGTAATTAAAATATGAAATTAGCATTCATGCCACTCCCAATCTCAAGACCATCATTATGTATATTGTAACTCTTTAATATTTAAACTAGTCCAATAAAAATGCCACAATCAGATCCTCTGAAATAACATGCAAATAAATCAAATACAACCCTAGATAAAGCTTTCGTTACCGGGTCGGTCGGTCGTCTTCTATCGCATTATCCGTACGCTCCAAATATAGCTCGACAAGTTATCTTTTTACACGTGTAGATTCAACAAATTGTTGACCTCAACCAGAGACCAAAAACTCAAACATTGTAAGACTGGAGCAAAGTGAGGGGAAGTCATATTTAGTAGATAACCAGCTCAAGATTAAGGCGGAGCAATTATTTATCAGACAAGACCAGACAAGATTTCATGACCATTGTGACGTAGTATTTATGGGAAACGCATGTACCCCAAGACGTTGTGTTAACCATTTTGTAATAAAACAACGATGACAATTGGGCCGATACAAAGAAAATGTCTGTTAACACCGATTATAGTCTGAACATTAATTGCTTAATCTTCCCAAATCGAATAATCTTGTTTCTTCTTGTTTGAATTTAATTTTACAAACATACATTGAAATTATTCATTCTGATTGGATATTTTAAACGATTATTTGACATAATATAAACAATTATTTCTGAGAATATAAAATGATTAAAATATAAAGATTTTGCCCTTATCATAATTTTGTTTTATATTTGTAACTTGTAGGTAATATTCTTAAATTGGGTCTGCCTCTGTGAATTTTCTAATTTCCCAGTTTTTTCATTGTCATTTTTAATAATATAATAATTTTGTGTGGTAATATATAAATTTTATTCGCTTTCTTACCTGTTTGCTCCACTGTGCGCTCTGTGGGTGACGTATTGAAAGGTGAGTGAGTGATTTCGTCTGTTTGCGTTGGGCTTCGATTCTTGAGCGCTTTTTTTTTAGCGACAGAAGCAACGCGGAAGCGGATATGTCCAGATCCCAGAAATGCTTTGCTTTTGCCTCGCCTTGTTGTTGCTATTTCGATGTGTTTCTTGTTGTTATCTGCCGATGACGAAGACGACGTCCATTGTTTTTACTTTTCGTTTTGTTTTCACTTTAAGGGGGTGGTGGTGAGCGGGCGACGAGCGGCGCTTTTTCTTTTGGGGCTAATCCTGGCTCTCTGTTTTTGTTTTCGATTCGCTGCCCGCGACGAATGTTAACCGCAAAGCGGAGCAAATAAAAGGCGAAGCACTCGAGTCGGTAAGAAGAAGCAGAAGAAGAGCAAGTCAAACGTTTCTACTTCCGCCGCGCGCACTCACACACAACACACTGACGCACACGCACACTAAAACACTCACGCGATGCACTTGCACTCTGGCGTTTTGTTCGTGTTGTATTTGTTGTTGTACTTTAGCATTTCCTTCTTCCTTTTCACTTTTGCCTACACTTCTTGCCGCCTTGTTGTTTTTTGTTGCCGTTCCTTGCTATTTCTTGTTTCCGATTCTCGCACTCAAACACACACACATACGCCGACTTAAGTTGGCTGCTGTACAACCGTTATTCCTTTCCGCCGCGCACAAATTAAACTCTATTAATTGTAAATTAATCAATTTAAATCATATTTGTTTGCATTTGGCTCGCTGAAGTCTAGTTCTCGGTTTCTCGGAGACCGCAAGCACACGTCCGCTTCCCACGACAGTTTTTTTTTTCAAAACAGTGACGCAGCGATGCAGGGCCTTTTATAATCTCTGGTGGGCAGTGATGCCAATAAAATAGCCAAAACTAGCTAATTTTTTTTATTTAGCAAAACGCTTATTGCGATTAACTTTAATGACCTATTGCTTAAGTAGGTGCTTTGTTTTATCTGTTAAGTCATATATTAACTTGAAATGTAACCAAATTAACTGGCTCCAGCTAATTTCAGTTTTGAGTCTTGCAAAATAGCCAGATCTGGCCAGGAAATAGCTTATATGAAAACAATGTTGGCAGCCAAATTCGAGAGTACGTGAGAGAGAGATTGAGAGTAACTGAGAGCTGGCGAGCTAGAGAGCGTGCCAGAGAGGGAGAAATAAGGAAAGTAAATGCAGAAAGAGCGAGAGAGCGGGCGCTCTCTGGAAGAGGAAAAATAAAGAAGAAGAAGAACTGGCGCCTCACTAAGAATACGAAAAAATATAATTATTCGAAGTCGAGCTTTGATCCGTTTTACTGACTAAGATAAAATCAGAGGGTTAATTATAGTAGTAGTACAGTGGAACTGTGGGGGTTCTGTTAAGGTTATTTGCATTGTTAATTTGAAATTGTTTAAATTGGAAATAACAGAATATGCTTGCGGGCTTAATTTTTGTTCTTTGAAATTTAAGTCTACCTTTTATTTCAATTTTAAATTATTAATATCTGTATGTTTAAAATATTAAAAGAAATGTATGTAAATTACATTGTTTTCTGAATACCAATTATGCATTTTTAAAATAAATAATAAAATGTAATGTAATTAGTATGCAGGACAGGCTTGTTTAAGAACATATTTTTTAAACTATTTTGTCAAATTTTATTGCAGGCCTTTAACATAAACATTAACATTTTCTTAAGAAAATTAATACAGTTCCAGGAACTTGCAGTACATTCATATGTAATGTATGTATATCAGGTTGAAGGTTACAGGGGCTAGCGTTACGTCATAAATTTAAAAATTATTTCCAAATAATCGCAATTAAGAACAGCTTTTTATTCTCCTCAAAATTCCCACACAATTGCCATAATAATCCCGATTATATTATTAAACAAACGGCGTGTGTATGCACAGACAACAAACAAATCATTAGATGCGTAAACATTTTGCCGCTTTTCTTTCCACTTCCTTGGCAACAACAACAATAACAACAGATCCCTTGGGTTATAATTTAAATATTTTAAAATACACTAACTTTACCATGGAACAACCCATCGCTTTTGGGTGTAGGCGGCGTCGAGTTCGCGTGGGGCGCTCGACTTAGTTGTTAATCAATAGAAGATAAAGTTTAAACAAAAGTTTCTACGCCATGCTGATAGGAGTGCCAGAGGCGTTCCCAAATGGGGGAATTTTTGATATCATTATCCATACCTGACCAATTCTTTATGTTTTATTTTTAATTAATAATTAAAATTACAAATTTTTATTTCTATCTTCGGGTAATACAGAATCGAACAAAAAATATAAGATATTACGCCAGATACTAACGTTAGTTGTACCGGTTAATATAATAAATATATAACAACAAAGGTTGGTATGATTAAATTTAACCATATCTACTGATAACTGCAAAAAGCTGTTTTATAAATAAAAAACTAAAAAGAAATATATATATTTTTATATATAAATAATATAAATTCTCTTTTATAATTAATTCAAATCATACAAACATTTTGACTGACCAAATTAACCCACTAACGAAACATAAGTATGTCTGAAATACTACATCTATTGATAGATAAGGAAATACCTGGAAAATCGTTATCAGTGCGTGATAATGTTAAAATATTTTTAAGAATTATGCATAATACTTATAGTAGCCGCCCCCATTCGGTGGAAAACTCATCGCCACGCGCCTGTTTAATAAACCTTCTATTGTAATACACGAAAATGTGTTCCGAGGTGCTAGTTGATATGTGTTTTCGATCCCATAAATCTTTGGCCCATGGAAACCAGTTGGCAATCTTTAATTATAAATTGTTGGATCGTTTCCGCTTCGCTGAGACTGGAAATCTCTTAGTTCAGTGGAATGGGAAACTGGGGGATTGGAATGGGATGGAATGGGATGGGTTCCCCGCCGTCAGGTTGCTCGCTCGCTTGCTCCGAAGATGCGCTCAGCTGCACTGCATCCGCTTTGGAGTTCCCCTCCTGACCCCTTCGTTTCGAGTGGCGTTGTCCCCTCAAGTTGGTTAACCAGTTTCTTTCCTCTCCTTACCCCCGCAAGTCCCCCAGTTGCCGGTGACATTTCAAGTCAAATGCCCATAAACGGACGACGACGGAGACCCGCCCACGCCCTCCATGGCCCATCGTCAGTTCCGTGGACATGCACTTGGAAAATAATAGCAATAATAATACAAATTTTAAAAATATATATATTGAAAAATAATGCGAAAGTAATGTTAACTTTCATTGTATTTACTTGTACATATCTTATTACCATTTATAGTTACAACTTTACATTTTCCTGTATATTTACGATCATTCATATGACAGCTATGTGCTATAGTCGTCTGATCCGGCCCTTTCCGACTTATATACTAGTGAGAGTATATAGAAGACTAACTGCAAAGTTTTATTCAGATAGCTTCAAAACTAAGAGACTTGTTTACGTAGAAATGAGCAATCGAACGGACACACTGACGGACAAACAGACGGACATGGCTAGATTAACCAGGCTGATGCTGATAAAGGATATATGCTAAGACGTACATTCACGATTTCTTCACTGGTTTTCGAAATATTATAATTATTATATTAATGTCTAGATTTTTATAAATTACTAAATACTATAAAACATTATTTTTCTCAGTGCACTTGAGCTAGTGTCTTTCCCATCGATAGCTGCCACGACAAAGATGATGACGACGGTTTCCAATGATCGTCGTCATCCATAAACAACAACAACAATAGAGCAACGATCACTGGCCCAAATTAGTAGCTTTGGTCATGGTGCGTCGCCCATCGGGCTTAATGGGGGGTTAAGGAGGGGGGTGTGGGGGTTAAGGAAGCCACCAAGAGAAAGAGGAAGACGAACGGACAGAGGTCACAGTTCAAATAGTCGTCCAATTGAGCCAATCAGCCTTTTGTACATCTGTATTTTGTCATTGCAATGCAAGTCATCAGAAGTTTACTTCTGGTATGCCACCACCACCCCCACTCTTTTACACAATATAATCACACTATAACGATCGGCTGTGTATATGTCACAGTACTAAGTTCTGTAAGTTCGATGCCTAAGTGCAGATAATTCATTAAAATAGAATGCCAATGTCCAGAAGGCAGTGCCACCAAGTGGCATCCACTTGTGCTCTAGAATCAGACACCGAAACACAGATACATGTTTCATATATACATATATTTATAAATATATACACATTTGCCAGACAGAAAGCGATTTGATATATGCCCTGCACTATATGGCATGGTATAGTCCCAGATCTATAAATAAGTATAGTCGCAGTGGCCAAATAGACAAAGTCGCCTCCCGATGCGGAAGTATTTCCAGACGGGAATACGTCTATCTTGTTCTTTGGTTTTCTTTTTTTTACTTTTGTGTTGCCCCTCTTTTTTATTTGTTGTTGGTAATTTGCCAATTACTAAACACAAAAGGGGGTTTTTTGGTGGGTCCTTTTTGGGGTTTAATTGCGCTCAAGGAAGGTGCTTTGAAGGGTTTTATTTGGGTGAAACTTATGTAGGTAAAGACCTCCTAAAGCTATTTACTTAATTAGTTTTAATGAAATCATTTACTTACTAATTCATAGTTTTCTATATAAATCATAAAATTAGATTACAAATTTTAAAAGGAAACTCATTGTCAAATTTTGAACTGATTACAAATTTTATATTACCTGGAAACAAATAATACTACAAGAAAATTCCAATAAATTTATAATAATTTACTTGATTATTTAAATGAATTTAATGGGTTCATTAAAAAATGTTCATTCGATTCTAATCAAATATAAATACATTAATTGAAGGTTAGTAAATGAAAAGTAATGAACTGACTATTCAATAATTTCCTAAATCAACTATATCAATAATAAATCTTAAAATTACATTAAAAACGATCAAAGTAAACTCCCTTTCTAATTGTTTTTTGATAAAACCCGAGGGTGTATCCTTGCCCACCTACAGAAGCCTCTTTGATAGAGGATCGTCCTGGTAACCACCCACATAACATTGAGTAATTTTTCAGGATTAGTCAAATAAAGATCCTTTTCGTTACACTCTGCCACAAAACTGAATTGAATTGTGCTGGTTCCTCGTTCCTCGTTCCTTGCTCCTTTTTGATTTCAACTGAAAAGGATATTGCCCAGAGATCCTGTGCAATGATCCTACTCGACCTGAATTTGAGCCCTGGCCTAATTGTTACACATTTCCCCTCTCCCGGCAACAATGGGTAATTGTACGATTTTTGCCGCCATTGCACGCATTAAGGATAACACAGGACCTCTAACAGTTGGCCGCCCCGACAAATCCGTGCTTGTGCGTCTGCAGGATATGAAATGTGCACCCAGCCAGCCAAAAAAAGGAAAGAAGAAACCGTGGGAAACCTGCCCCGAAAGTCTGGCCACGGAAGAAAGACATAGAGAGAGTGTAGGTGTGTGTGTGTATGTGGGAACAAAGGACCCAGGAAGGGAAAACTGATCGAATCGAGAGACCATCGAACTCTCCGCATATCGATCTCTGGCGACATTTGCCTTGCCTTTGCTTTTTTTCTGGTCAGGATTATGGCAGCCCAAGAATCGTTACGATTTAGCGCCCAAAATGAAACGTAGCCAAGCAGAACGACATATCGATGGAGTAGGTATAGGAAATCAAAAGGATCGAACAGGATAATGCCCTGGAAATGGTTTATAATGAAAGGTTACAGTTTTCATGGTATTGGGTGGTTTATTTCAGATAAAAGGTAATTAAAAAATGAGTGGTATAATGTTTATATTATAAGATCCTTAAAAAT